TGATACTGCGTAATATTTTAGCGGTCTAAGGCAAATACAGCATAATTATGCCTTTCTGAACTGCCCACTATAAACGGTGCTTGATAGCATCACACACGAATCTGTCCGTTAGTTGATAGTTGGTGTAAGTTTCCAATTAATTTGAGGCAAAAAAACAATTACAATGCCTTGTATCCTCGCTTGTGACTGTGTTTTTTGTGCCTTAAAATAAATTACAACTACGTGGCGCAATCCCGTGGCTTTTGTCTGGTTATGTAGTCAGTTTTTTTTTTTCATGTCAATCGCATTCTTTCGCAACTTAGGCCATCGAAAAACTACACGTGCGGCGGTTTTCTTAAGCATGTCTTTCCTCTGCTTCTTCTTGAGTTCCTCGAATGAAACCTTTGAGCACAGCTGAAGCCAAAGCTTCGAGCAGGAACCGCACTTTGGGGTATCGGTGAGCACTTCTTAGTCATTACTCACGAGGCTTCCTGCTGACGCATTGGGACACCATGAACACACTTTCAGCTTTTCTAGAAGTTCGGCCCATTGGATGATAGTATCTGCATTGCCGGGCGACTTGGCTAAGCGATGGTGGCGGCTACTAATGGTGACTGCCATGTCTTCTGCGACGACTACGCATTTCTTCACAAATAGCACCTTTTTTCTTCTTTGAGCACTATAAACACCACAAGACGTCTTGTCTCGCCATTCTCAGCAACTTTCCGCCAACATGCAGCAGGCAAACGCGTTTTCTATGTCTTGAAGCGAAATTATGACGCCGCTCGTTGACGGCATGTCGGAACTTATTTCATCGTCTTCGAGCTAAGTGCTCGGAGATAGTCTATTCTTTTTCGCCGATACTATTCTGGAAAGAACCCCACTCTTCTTGGACAGCTTTCGCTTCTTTCTAGCGGGTTTTGAAAGGTAAGCGGGCAAATTTGGGATATCCGTGGAACGCATCTTCCGATGAGGTCCCACTTTCTTCTGGTGATTTGTACCTTCTTACTATCGATGACGTGAACGAAAGTCTCCAGGATGCCCTCCTTATGAACGTGCATATCACACACGCGTGACGTGCTGGGCAGTTTTTTATCCGCACGAGGAATAGCTAGGTCCCATGCATCTCGCTGCTCAGGGATTTCGGCGAGGCTCGCAATGGCGTGAGACACGGCTCCGCGTCGGCTCCGTGAAATGACCACTTTTAACGCGCAAAGGACAACAGCCAGCTGATAAAGTGCTGTGTGTGGTTGCGGACGTGCTCAGGATCCTGTGGCTACCAGTCTGAAAACTGTAAGTAGATTTTAAAGGATTTTATTGCGCCTTCAGTGTTCGGCTACGTTGTGCGTCTCACCAACTCCGCCGTTAGGCCTAGCGCCGAGGCGGTCGGATCGGCGTTCGAGGCTCCAGGCGTCGGCTCGTAGAGCGTCTGCGGAGGCACTATGACGATGGAAGTGATTGTTAATGGTAGAGATGCCAATCAAGAAGAATTGGAAAGCTCGGACTGGGTGACGAAAGTGTCGAAACGTGTGGCGGAGCTCCAGGAGAGTCAACAACGGGAACGCGATGGCGCCACCAGGGCGGCGTCTACAAGCAGTGGATGCGGAAAAGAAGGCAGGACGATGCCGGCCGGCTTCAATGGCGACAAGCATGGTGTAAGCGGGAGACCCTCATATAAAGCGGCGGGGAAAAAGCTCGCGGAGCGGTCAGTAGCGTCGCATCTACCGCGTCTTCCGAACGCGGATCACAAGGTTATTATCAGGCCCAAAGAAGAACTGACGCACACCAGACACTCGGCACCTGTGATTGGTGGAGCAGTAAGGATGGCAGCAGGCATTCCGTGGCAGAAAGGTCGGAAGGAGGACAGGATCGTTGTCAATGACAAGCAAGGAACATTGATATACAGCACGCCCAGGGAGGATGACGCCAAGAAAATGTTGGACCTGAAAGTCATAAAGCTCGACGGCAAGGAGTACGAGGTGAAGACATACATGGCTGCGCCTGAAAGCTGTGGCAAAGGAGTGGTACGTGGACTTGATATCAGGCTCTCTGAGAGAGATAGAGTATCGTCCTATTCTTGGTGTGCGAAGGATGGGCAACTCCACTTCGGTAATCATCACCTTCGTTGACGACTACGTGCCGAGATAATAATAATAATGGCTTTATTTCGCATCAAGGATACATGATGCAGGAGACCTGCAGAAAAAGCTGGCGTGATGCCAGCTTGACAAGGCCGCAGGCCCCCCTTCCCCCTCCCCGAACACATCGCAGCAGCGGTAACACTTTCATAAAAACATTCGGGATCATACGCGTAAAATAAACAGGTCTATGACAAGAAAGAAATCATCGCTGTCTATGTGTGATAAAACGAAACGTCTAATGCTTAAACAACAACAACAAAAATCTATTTCAAAAGATGCAAAAAATGTTGGCGTATTTGCCTTAAAAAAAGGAAGCATTTGCGTAATACATCCGAGCGAAGCATACAAACATGTATACGACAAAAATGAGCAATCAACACTGTACAGGTGTAACATATTGGTACATATAATGCTATAAACAAATAATTTCGCAATGTGAAATACAGACGCATTTGCCTTGCAAAACACAGAAAAAAGCATCATAAAAAGAAGAAATATGCCTAATTTATTGCTTTGTCAACACCACAAATGCATACTAATTTCCTAAAAAAAAACAAACAAGACACCAAGAAACATATCGTGAAAAAAAAACACAAAGCAGTATACAAAATACACGTCAACAAAAACAAAATACAAAAATACATTCTTTAGAAATTACAAGTAACAGAAACGAGTGATCTTGACGTCTGGAGGAAATGATTCCGCAGTTGTTTAAAGGTGATTTTTTCTAAGTCAATTTCGTTATCCCTAAGTTCATTTAGTAACCTTGGAAGTTTATTTACCAACGATTGAAGACCGTATGTGGTTCTAAAGGTTCGAACAGTCCACACTTCATTTTTCCGGGTATTATACTTAGGCTGGTTGAGTATTAAATCTGCCAACTGCTTTAGAAATGGGTTAGAGTTTTTTATGTCTTGCTTATATTTCTTGGACAGAAAAAAATCATACATTTTTATTACTGGCATTAGGTTGTATTTTTCAAATAAGGAACAAGTATGATAAGTACGTGGCACGTTCTCTACCGCCCGTACAAACCTTTTTTGCAACATATGAAGTTTGTTTATGTTTTCTTTAGAAGTTAGAGCCCGAACTAGATAGCAGTAATTGACTCTTGATAAAAATAAGGTATTGTAAATTAACAACAAAATATTCCGAGGAAGCAAGTGCTTGTTTCGGTACACAAGGCCGACTACCTGAGAGACCTTCGTAGCTAAGAAGTGTATGTGGTGATCCCATGATAATGTTTCTTGAAATATTACTCCTAATATTTTAAGAGAAGGGACTATCTCGACAGGGGTGGAATTTAAAAAGATCGCTTGTTTTACAATTTCCGCTTTATTTTTAGCATGAAATACCATAGCCTTAGTCTTTGCAACATTTATTTTTAGACCGTTTTCTCTTGTCCATTTTTCTAATCTAATCAGCAGTAGATTTGCATGTGTTATTAATTCGTTCACTGATTTTCCTGTTAAAAATATATTCGTATCATCTGCATATATTATAAATTTTACGTTAGGGGAGATGTTCACGATATCATTAATGTAAATATTGAAGAGGAAAGCTCCCAAAATGCTTCCCTGTGAAACTCCTGCAACTATTGACAAAGAATCGGAATTGCAACCACCCAGGCTAACAATATGATTACGGTGTTGCAAATAAGACTGTATTAATGATCCCGCCGTTCCCCGAATACCGTACCGTTCCAGTTTTTCTATAAGTAATTTGTGGTTAATGTGGTCAAAAGCTTTCGTAAAATCTACGAACAATCCTAACACAACGTTTCCCTGTTCGAATTGCTGATAAATGTACTCTTTCTGTGCCATGAGAGCATATTCTGTACTGAAACCTTTGCGGAAACCATACTGCGAGTCATGAAGCAACTGAAACTTCCTTTCAAAATTAGTCAGCCGTTTTAATATTAGTTTTTCTAATGCCTTCGATAGGACTGGCAGAATGGACACAGGCCGGTAATTCGACATGTTATTTCTATCGCCTTTCTTGAAGAGGACGGTAACGCGTGCAACTTGCATTTTAGTGGGAAAAACAGCCCGGCCAAGGCACAAATTGAATATATGCGTTATATAAGGAAGAAGGAATATAATGACATGCTTTATAGGTTGAACTTGTATCCCGTCAATATCAAGTGCTGTACTGTTTTTCAAATTCAAAACTAATTCTTTTACTTCATTCTCACTTGTCGGATCAAGAAAAATGGTACTGTCGATAAATGGGACACTTCCAAGGTTACTACTCACATCACATTTTTCTGCGACATTTACAAAATATTTATTGAAAGTGTCGGCCAAGGGTTTTCCTGATATGACCTTGCCGTTAAGATTCATGCTATGTACTGAACCCGTGGACACATTGCGATTTAAGAGAGAATTTAGCCTTTTCCACAGTATATCTGAGCACCCAGAAACTGAACTAAACATATTGTTATAATATTCTTGTTTTGCCTTTTTGAGATCTTTATTTAGGCGATTTCGTTTAACCTTGAATTCTTTAAACAATTTAGGGTCTTTCGTTTTAAGATAGCGGCTAAATGACATATTTTTTTCTTGTATTCTTTTCCGAAGTTCCGCGTTAATCCAGAGTTTACGAACTTTCCTGTTCTGCTTTGTTTTAACCAGAGGAAACGAAGCAGTATAAATTGGCTTTAGTATGTTCAAAAATTCTTCGTACGCCTTGTTTGGCTCATTCATTTTAAGTATATTCGTCAAAGGAGCCCTCAAAATCTTCTCCGAAAATATTTTCAGAGTTTGTTCGTTTATACGCTGGGTGAAAAATGTGTTCGGTTTGTTTTTGTCACATAAGTGTTTCCTACAACAAATGTATATTGGCAAATGATCACTCAAATCTACAGTAATCACACCAGCCTTGAGGTTTTCTGTCGGTATATTTGTTAAGAACAAATCAATCAAGGACGAAGACATTTGTGTGATTCTCGTAGGGACAGTGATCATATTTGAAAAGCAATGAGATTTCAGCAAAATATCAAATTTTTGTACTATAGCTTCCTGTTTGAGCATATTTATGTTCATGTCACCGCCACACACAACGTCTAAACGATTTGTGTTAGTGAACGCAAAAAACGTGTCCAGGTAATCCAGAAAGGATGCCGTTTCGCCGTTTGGTGGTCTATAACAAACGGCAAGAACCACATTTTGTAGTTTAACTGATAGAAATTCGAAGTCATTGCAAGAGTGGGTGAAATTTTGAATTAGGTCACAGTCAAGGACCTTTTTCACTAGAATACATACGCCACCGCCACGACCAGAAATTCGATTAAGGTAGAACGTATTGTACGAAGGCAAGCGAAACACGCTGGCTTTATCTGTTAACCATGTTTCAGTTAACATTATGACGTCGAATACATGATTTAATTGTTCGAAAAAAAGGCTAAGGTCGGACTGTTTATTATTTACCGATTGCACATTCAAGTGAAAACATTCAAACGAGTTTGAATAGAAATTTCCTAAACTCTGCGAAAACGCTTCTGGAAGCACATAAGAATCGTTTCCTACGCAAGCCATGTTGAGCCGATCATTTCTTCTTTCTTTAGCTTAGTTTGTTTAGATCACTAGCATTTGCGATGCGTATGGCTTTCTCCCCATCAGCTTTACGCACTAGAACTTTCCTGTTTGAGTGCCATGCATACTTGAAGTTCGCTTCTTTAGCCCAGTTCTTTGCCTCAAACAACAGCGCACGCGCTCTTTTGGTCAGGTTTTCCGTCAAGAAGAAGTGCTCATTTAGGCTGCTCAGTTTCTTTCTGTTTTTCCACCAGAAATCTCGGTCCGCTTGCTTCGCAAAACGACAGATAACGACCGGCGTCTTATCTTTTCTGGGCGGAAGCCGATGAATGGCGACCACATCACTTTCTGCGAGTGGCGGGAACTGGTGTTTAATTGCCATTGCATTGATCGCTTCTAGCAAGTTTTCATCTTCCGTTTCCTGTATTCCATGGAATTCTAGGTTGAGTCTGCGGCTCCTCCACTCAAGATTATCTACTTCTGCCTGCACTTCAGCTACTTCTTGGTCCCGCATCTCAACCTTTTCCAATCTGCGCTTAATGTCCTTGACGTCACGCTCGTTTTGTTCCGTTTTTTTTTAGTATTTCGTCGTATTTCTCACTCAAGTATTGCACCGCGTCGTCAATGCTCTCAACTGTTTCTTTGAGCAGTACTAGTTTATCCAGCTTGTCGTTAATAGCTTTCATCCAAATTCGGACATCTTGCATGTCGGCCTCACTGCCCGCTTCTTTTGATTCAGCTGATGCTGCTCGCAACCTCGCCCGTCTAAAGGTAGGGCAGCGCCATGCATCGCAGTATGCCTGCCCTTTGGACTTGATAGTTGCTTCAGAAATTCCAGCACATTTGCCGGCGTGAAATGCTTGACAACAGTCGCTACATTCAATCCATACGACGTCCCCAGTGAACGGCTTATCGCACACAGAACATGTTCTATCTCGGGGCATAGTTGCACAAAACGACAAATGAGAACAGTAGTTTACACAGCAGCACCAGCAGTAGCAGCAGTAGTTGCGGCACAACCAAATTTACAGCGGGCATAGAAACAGCACCAACCTGCGAAACAGAAGAAGAGACCGTGTTCGTTTACGCCGTTTTTTCCGCCGCAACCACTGCTGCCAAGTGGTCTCGGTGATGGCTTGGTCCTCCCTTTAAGAAACCCAGTGGCTGTACGGCGCAGGTGCGGTAGAATTCATCGCAGGGTAGTTTGGCGCAGGCGCAGCGGAGCTTGTTACTTCTCCTTCGCACCGACGGCGATGTGCATATGGACGACGAAAAATGCGCACGGTATCTGACGAATGCCAACAGCCTGCGAAACAGAAGAAGAGACCGTGTTCGTTTACGCCGTTCTTTCCGCCGCAACCGCTGCTGCCAAGTGGATGATCGTCTTTGGGACGCCGATGAAATGTTTTCTCTACAAGAAGAGATATGAAGTGTGTTACAAGTGTGGTGAGCTGGGACATCGATCCGACGTATGTGACAGCCCGCACGAAAAATGCAGAGGTTGTGGGGTGGCCTCCCCTCTCACGGACCATGAATGTACGCCGAGGTGCCGTCTGTGTGGCAAGGAGCACGTGACCGGAGACAAAAGGTGCGAAGAAATTTTTCGGACACCTTATATAGTGAAGAAGCGACTGTGGGAAATGAAGCTTGAAGAAGCGCGGGAGCAAGAAGAACGACGCAAGGCCGAAGAGGGCACGCAGCGGCACAGCAGGACAGACGGGGTTCAAGATCGTTCGAGGCGCAAATCCAAGCATCGAAGTAGATCGAGAGGGCGCTCGGAATCCTTTCCCCGATTGCGACCGCTGGAGAAGCCGGGAGTTTCTCACAAGGCATCCCATGATGGTGGTGATTGTGCCCAGGAGAAGTCAAATCCACAGGACCACAGGTGGGTTGGGTAACTAAGGTCTCCCAGGATGCTAATACAGAGATGATTAATGCTCTTAAAGAGCAAAACAGGATATTACAGGAGCAAAATGCGGAACTACGTAAACAGCTTGATGAGATTAAGGCTCATCTAACCAGTAAACCAGGGAAGGCGCTGGAAACACCCCAGGTAGCAAACCAACCGCCTTTAAAAAAGAAGAGGGCTAAAGAAACCAAAATTGAAGAAAATCACGGAGCGAGAATTGAAGCGCTTGAGGTGGAAACAAAGTCATTACAAGGTATGCTCCAAGCTGTACTAGAACAGATGAAACAAGTAGGCAACGCTATTGAGCAAATTAAGGCTGAATTTGCTAGCAGGGACGACAGATAGAATGGCTATGCCAAGCGCTCAAGCTAAACCAAGATGGCTCTGCACCCTTACAGTAATACGATTTGGCAGTGGAACTGTAGGGGTTTCTCGCGCAAACGTGCGGTTTTACAATCTTTTCTTACCAACGCCGATCGACCGGAGGTTATTGCGATCCAGGAGTGTGGGAAAAATGCAAAATTAGCAGGTTACAAATCTTTTGCCGAGTCGGGTAATGATACCCAAGTTACGACTTTCGTAAAGAGAAACATTACGACATTGCAGCATGAGACGGGGAACTCGCAGATCGATCATGTTTTAGTTGAACTCGTGCCTCGCAAGCGCAAAGACAAGAGTCCTGAATGTGTATAGTTCCCCCAGGCAGCGCAAAATCAACTTTGGTGATCTTTTCACGAAAACAAAGGTTATTTCAGCAAACGGTCTACTATTGATGACTTCTTTGCGCAAACACGTACACGGACACAAGGAAAAGAGGCAAACAACACGGGCGCAAACTCACAACTAGTTTATTTTGAACAACGAACTGTACTTATATCTTCACGAACCCACTTGCAGCTTACATGCAAGAATGCTGGGACAAGGGAGAAATACCGCAAGCTTGGAAAACGGCCAATGTAGTCTTCATTCCTAAGCCAGGGAAAAAGCTCAGTCTTGAACATCTCAGACCCATTTCCATCACATCTTGCGTAGGAAAATTGCTGGAGCACGTCATCCAAACAAGACTGACTAGGTTCATGGAAGATGAAAACCTGTACCCTGATACTATGATAGGCTTCAGATCCCACCTATCGACGTGCGATATTATGCTACAGCTAAAGGAGGAGATAATAGACAAAAAGACTGTTGACACCAAAGTAATTGTGGGTCTGGACGTCTCCAAGGCGTTTGACAATGTCAATGTTGTGGGCGGCAGCGGTAGCAGTGACACGGATCAACACATCGTGGACTAAGCGCATCTTGTATTCATTGCAGAATCCAGCAGTGAAGGAACAACCAAGATATCTTTTCATCGAGCGCCGACAGCTGTCACCATGGTCGAGCCTGGAAGTACAGACACGTGTGCAGATTGGCGTCGTGGCCAGCCCTTAAAAGCGTCAACCAGAGGCCAGCTACCGTCACTTTGTGGGCGGCAGCGGTAGCAGTGACACGGATCAACACATCGTGGACTAAGCGCATCCTGTAATCATTGCAGAATCCAGCAGTGAAGGAACAACCAAGATATCTTTTCATCGAGCGCCGACAGCTGTCACCACGGTCGAGTCTGGAAGTACAGACACGTGTACAAATTGGCGTCGTGGCCAGCCCTTAAAAGCGTCAACCAGAGGCCAGCTACCGTCACTTTGTGGGCGGCAGCGGTAGCAGTGACACGGATCAACACATCGTGGACTAAGCGCATCCTGTATTCATTGCAGAATCCAGCAGTGAAGGAACAACCAAGATATCTTTTCATCGAGCGCCGACAGCTGTCACCACGGTCGAGTCTGGAAGTACAGACACGTGTACAAATTGGCGTCGTGGCCAGCCCTTAAAAGTGTCAACCAGAGGCCAGCTACCGTCACTTTGTGGGCGGCAGCGGTAGCAGTGACACGGATCAACACATCGTGGACTAAGCGCATCTTGTATTCATTGCAGAATCCAGCAGTGAAGGAACAACCAAGATATCTTTTCATCGAGCGCCGACAGCTGTCACCATGGTCGAGCCTGGAAGTACAGACACGTGTACAGATTGGCGTCGTGGCCAGCCCTTAAAAGCGTCAACCAGAGGCCAGCTACCGTCACTTTGTGGGCGGCAGCGGTAGCAGTGACACGGATCAACACATCGTGGACTAAGCGCATCCTGTATTCATTGCAGAATCCAGCAGTGAAGGAACAACCAAGATATCTTTTCATCGAGCGCCGACAGCTGTCACCACGGTCAATCCTGGAAGTACAGACACGTGTACAGATTGGCGTCATGGCCAGCCCTTAAAAGCGTCAACCAGAGGCCAGCTACCGTCACTTTGTGGGCGGCAGCGGTAGCAGTGACACGGATCAACGCATCGTGGACTAAGCGCATCCTGTATTCATTGCAGAATCCAGCAGTGAAGGAACAACCAAGATATCTTTTCATCGAGCGCCGACAGCTGTCACCACGGTGAATCCTGGAAGTACAGACACGTGTACAGATTGGCGTCATGGCCAGCCCTTAAAAGCGTCAACCAGAGGCCAGCTACCGTCACTTTGTGGGCGGCAGCGGTAGCAGTGACACGGATCAACGCATCGTGGACTAAGCGCATCCTGTATTCATTGCAGAATCCAGCAGTGAAGGAACAACCAAGATATCTTTTCATCGAGCGCCGACAGCTGTCACCACGGTCGAGCCTGGAAGTACAGACACGTGTACAGATTGGCGTCAGTGGCCAGCCCTTAAAAGCGTCAACCAGAGGCCAGCTACCGTCACTTTGTGGGCGGCAGCGGTAGCAGTGACACGGATCAACACATCGTGGACTAAGCGCATCCTGTATTCATTGCAGAATCCAGCAGTGAAGGAACAACCAAGATATCTTTTCATCGAGCGCCGACAGCTGTCACCACGGTCGAGCCTGGAAGTACAGACACGTGTACAGATTGGCGTCGTGGCCAGCCCTTAAAAGCGTCAACCAGAGGCCAGCTACCGTCACTTTGTGGGCGGCAGCGGTAGCAGTGACACGGATCAACACATCGTGGACTAAGCGCATCCTGTATTCATTGCAGAATCCAGCAGTGAAGGAACAACCAAGATATCTTTTCATCGAGCGCCGACAGCTGTCACCACGGTCGAGTCCTGGAAGTACAGACACGTGTACAGATTGGCGTCGTGCCAGCCCTTAAAAGCGTAAACCAGAGGCCAGCTACCGTCACTTTGTGGGCGGCAGCGGTAGCAGTGACACGGATCAACACATCGTGGACTAAGCGCATCCTGTATTCATTGCAGAATCCAGCAGTGAAGGAACAACCAAGATATCTTTTTCATCGAGCGCCGCAGCTGTCACCACGGTCGAGCCTGGAAGTACAGACACGTGTACAGATTGGCGTCGTGGCCAGCCGTTAAAAGCGTCAACCAGAGGCCAGCTACCGTCACTTTGTGGGCGGCAGCGGTAGCAGTGACACGGATCAACACATCGTGAACTAAGCGCATCCTGTATTCATTGCAGAATCCAGCAGTGAAGGAACAACCAAGATATCTTTTCATCGAGCGCCGACAGCTGTCACCACGGTCGAGCCTGGAAGTACAGACACGTGTACAAATTGGCGTCGTGGCCAGCCCTTAAAAGCGTCAACCAGAGGCCATCTACCGTCACTTTGTGGGCGGCAGCGGTAGCAGTGACACGGATCAACACATCGTGGACTAAGCGCATCCTGTATTCATTGCAGAATCCAGCAGTGAAGGAACAACCAAGATATCTTTTCATCGAGCGCCGACAGCTGTCACCACGGTCGAGTCTGGAAGTACAGACACGTGTACAAATTGGCGTCGTGGCCAGCCCTTAAAAGCGTCAACCAGAGGCCAGCTACCGTCACTTTGTGGGCGGCAGCGGTAGCAGTGACACGGATCAACGCATCGTGGACTAAGCGCATCCTGTATTCATTGCAGAATCCAGCAGTGAAGGAACAACCAAGATATCTTTTCATCGAGCGCCGACAGCTGTCACCACGGTCAATCCTGGAAGTACAGACACGTGTACAGATTGGCGTCATGGCCAGCCCTTAAAAGCGTCAACCAGAGGCTAGCTACCGTCACTGTGGGCGGCAGCGGTAGCAGTGACACGGATCAACACATCGTGGACTAAGCGCATCCTGTATTCATTGAAGGTTTGTGATACAACTTTATTACTCGATACCGTAGCATTATTTCCGTTGTATCACTGCTGCTGCTGCCCCTCAAGCTATTGTACTTGTATGGGTTTCGCCTTCTGGAAGCTTCGTTGCTATGTCTGCTGTCGCTGGATGCCCATCTTGCAAGGTGCAGTTTGAAGAAAAAGATCTAGTTGTGACATGTGCTGAATTTAGCATGGTTTTTCATGTTGGAAAGTGCAGTGGAATCAGTGACCGATCTTTTCGGTCAATGAAAGACT